CACTTCCTTTCCCCTGCCTTCCCCTCTCCCATGTCCCCCAGAACTGTCAGTAAGACCTGAAATCCTGACACGAGTACACAGCCTCAGCTTATCCCACAGAGTGGCTGGTCAATTTGAAATGCTGACTCTGTAGCCCATTGCCTGGTCTGCAGTGCCACCAGGGCTCCTTAGAGACGTCCCATGGTCTACGTGTAAAAGGGACTTTGAATTTATCACTAGAACACTACTGTTAAAAAATTCTATCTTTGCTATTTATTAACATGAAACCTGGATGAGTTCCTTGGCCTCTCTGACCATAGCACCCTCATTGGTATGCAGGGGAAGTCCTAACCTGCCCAACATACCTAACAGGGTTGTTCTGAGGGTTAAATCAGATTGGGGACATGAAAGTGTTCAACACCAATTCTGAAACCGTGTTGTGTACTAGTGAATACTAGTGTGTGCTAACCATGGTTTTACTGAGATATTTTCACTTCTCTTTCCAGGACAATAACTAAGTATTCTGTACAACCTTGTTCCGGGAGAAGCATTCACTCTGAGTAAGATCATTTTTACCTCTTTATTTTGCTGAGTGGAAGTCAAGAATGCAAGATCGTACACACCGTGTAATCAAATAAGTCTGCTGGAACGCCAGCCATGCTTACCAGCGCCAGCTTTAAGATAGTGGTGCCTGAGAATGGGTGGGGAACCTATTTTCTGCCAGGGGCCAAGTGCTGGCAATTGATAACATCCTTCTGGGACATACTGCGAAATGTTAATGAACTCACCCCTAATGTGATAGCTAGAACTACTGCTCGTCGATGAGGCCTGTGACGTTAGCTGGTATTGATGATGTTCCAAGCCTCATAAGGCCAGTGGGCCAGGTGTTACCCACCCCTGACCTAAAGTCATGCTAAATTTGAGAAAATAACAACTTTGTGATAAAGTTAACCATCATGTCATTTTTATAGCCAGTAGAAATTTGTCCATATGTTAATCATACCTGCTATCTCCCCGCCCCCGCCACCCACAACTGGGACCCCCGAGTGTCACAAACAATTAAGTGCTTGGCTGCCAACCAAAAAGGTTGATGCCTTGAAGGCAAAGAGGCCTTGGAAGAAAGGGCTAGTGCAAAGCTTCTGAAGGTCATGGCCTTGAGAGCCCCCTGGGAGCGTTCTGCTCCGCAGGTGGGAGTGGGGGTTACGTGTTTGGTTTTACAAGTAAAAAGCCGAAAGTAATAAAGAAGAGTTTTTGAGAAATACAAACTTCTGGTGGATCAGAATACTCTGCTTAGAGGTGTCTAAACTCACACAATCTCTGCACATGTTAGACTTGTAATTTTGTTTTTTAATCATTTTACTGGGGGCTCGTACAACTTTTATCACAATCCATACATCCATCCATTGTGTCAAGCACATTTGTACAATTGTTGCCCTCCTCATTCTCAAAACTAGACTTCTAGTTTCAGTTCAGCTGGGTTTTCCCCCAGAGAAGATCATCTATTTAGTAGAACTTCACTAATTCGCAAATTTGCTGCTGAAGTACTGGAGCCTACTTTTTAGCTGACATTGCAATCTTCTACCGTCTTAAAACAGCAGCGCTGGTGGCTCTATCAGGTAGCTGTTAGACTGCTAGCCACAGGCTTGCTGGTTCAAGTCCCCCAACCATTCTACCGTAGAGGCTGGCTGTTCCCAGGAAAAGTTAGGGCCTGGAAAGCCTCTCGGGTCACTGTGGGTCAGAATCGACTCCGTGACTGTGAGTTTCTTTAAAAGTGCTTTATCTCATTCAGAAATTGAGGAATTGGACTCACGGTTTTTATTAAGTTATTAACTTCTGATCATTAATTAAAATTTACATGTGTCTTCATTTTCTTAGAATTTTTTTGTCCACCCAAGCATTTTGAGAAAAAAATTAATGTTTTCCCTCAATAAATTTCCCAACCTTAAAACAAAGATGCTCTCTTGAGAACAGAGCAGGATTTCACAGTTGAAATAGAAGTCACCCCTCCTTGCTCCTATAAGAGCCTTGCCCCGGCGTCTGCGTGCTTTGTGGACCTGAGGAATTAAAACCGAGTTGAGAACATTCGCCCCTAATGGATCACAGATCATGTGGGGTTGTTCCTTGACCTTGGTTATTCATTTTGTATGATGATTATTGTTACTGCTATTAATGTTGCCAATGCCTGTAAAGTCCTACTCTATGTAATAGGTGGTATTTTCTCATTTTAATAAATAATTATCCATGCATAATCTGAGAGGGCACACACGCTTGTCTGAGAACATCCCACTGAACAGTAGGAGGAGGCTGAGGGTCATTGGTAAGAGTAAAGCGAGGTCTCGAGTTAGGTGCTTGTCCTTGTTGCCTTCTGTAAGTAACGCCTTGTCTTTGCAGTGAAGAAGAGCTGTTGTACCTGAGCTTCATTGAGGACATAACGGATGAAGTCTTGAAACTTGGGTTATTCTCCAACAGGTTAGACCTTCACCATTGCACTCGGGGGTGCACAGTCTTTAAAGTACCCGCGACGTGGTGTCACTTTTAACTGATTCCCACGTATTAGGAAATACAAAATTGTACTGCTTTTTCAGGGGATCAGATTCTTGTAATTCATAGCAAAGTGTCCAGAATGTTTAATTCCTATTCTAAGGCAAGTTCACAGTTTGGAAGAGTTCTAAAAAATAATGAGATTTTATTCATCTTAAATATTGTTAGGTCCCTTGGTTACACCAGACTAGAAACTCTTCACCTGTCATTTGCATAAGAGCTAGGTGTGCACACTGGAAATGGAATGGAAAGTTTGCAGAGCCAGATCGCTTAGTTCCTGTCTTCAGGAAACTGTGTGTGCCTCACCTTCATTGGGCACTGGGCCTCACTTTCTACAGCAAACGTGTGTCACTATGGCCTAGGACCCGACTGCATGCACGATGTGCTTTCTCCCCTGCACTGGTCTGTAGGCTGCAGATCTTTCTAATGAAGTCTCTCCTTCCCACTACATGGAGCTCTTGTTTTGTTTTGTTTTTTGTTTTTTAAAGAAAAGCAAACGGCATTATTTGGATAAAAAGATACCAAAAGACCTAACTTTTTGGTAATTGTTCTATTTATTTCTTCCACTTTCAAACGTTGGTTTAGAATGTTTGCCTCTTTAAAAGTTGGTTTAAACCCTCTACATTTGTTCTCAGTGTTGGAGAGCTGTTCACGGCAGGGGCAGGGGGCGGCTGTGCTGCGTGTATCTCAACATTTCACTGGGAATTGTGGGAAGCCTTACTAGGCAGACGATTGTCTTCCTTCCCACAATTCCTGCCCATTTTGTTTCATCTCGTTCATTGCAACCCTCTTAAAGTCACATCATTCACCCCACTTCATTGCAGCATTTATTTTAGAGTAGCCAAAGAAAAAAACAATAACTGAATGTTGAATACTAAAGGATTGGTTGGATAAACTATACTGTATCCATAAGAGTGAGTGCCATTTATATATTGAAAATGATGTCATAACAGTGATTTGGTTGCTATAGTAAGATACTGTATATCATTGATAAGAAGAACAAAATGGATTCCTATATGGTTTGAGTCCAGTGTTAATAAAGTAATATGTATGCATAGAAAATGCCTCTGAGTGAATGAATATTCCAAAATATTAACAGTAGTTTTAAAAGAGATTTTTGGTTTTGTACTTCATACAATCTTATGACCTCCTTATGAAACTCGAGGCAATTGTGTAACAGAAGACAAAATAGCCCCCAATGCAGAGAATCTGACAGGACAGGATAGGCCGCATCCTACCTGGGAGAGGAAGAATGAATGCAAATGCCGTCTCCCAATCTTTAGTAGTCTCATGTTGCAGCCCTCGTTTGTACTGAGTGAGACTGCCTGGTCTTGAGACCCTGACGGTTCTGTTTCTCACTTGTAGGTTTTTAGAACGGCTGTTTGAGAGACATATTGAAGAAAACAAGCATCATTTGGAAGAGGTTTGTCTTTTCCTTAGAACATTTCTAATGTAGAAATAATTGTGCGGTTTGTTTTTTCCCCACCCTCAAAGAATGCATTAAAAGCAGGTGCTTCCCAGCTCTGCCCCTCCCTCCTTATTTTCAGGAGGGTGGGGAAAAGGGAGAGTATTAATTAGCAGTACTACAGACAAAAGTAATTGAATTTTACCAGCTTACTTGAAGTCATTGTTTTCTTGATCCTAGGGGAAAATGCGCCACCTTCTGCATGTCCTGAAGGCGAACTTGGGTTTCTTAACTGACCAGACCTCAGGGAAACAAAGTGACTCCGAGATGCTGACTGTAATTGATTTTGAAAAGACTGAGATTTCAGAACAAATGGAATTTAAAAGAACGCATGAAATAACAGTTCAACAGGAACGCCAAGAATACCAGAAGCTTTTGAACATCTTCTCTGTTCAGAAGAATGAGAAAGAGCTACTCTCTCCCACAAATGATTTCTACCTGCCCACCTCGAACGCAAAGACGTATTCAGAAGAAGTTGTAATTCACCAGGTGAATGATGAAACCAAGCACAATCCTTCAAAATGGGAACAATACCCAACTGTTTCAGAATTCATATACCAGGAAACCTCAGTGAATGTCATTGAAGGTGACAGTGACACGGAAAACATTGAGACTTCAAATGAATTCTCTTGTCTGAGGCCACTGTTCTCCCGATCTGGTCAGCGCCCCAGGCTCACAGGTGACAATAGTGACTTAGAAGGACCAACTCTTAAAATCATCGAAATGGGCATTAGAGACTGACTCTCCTTTGAAGGTTTGATCTTCACTAATAAACATCTCAGATGGCCGGGAACTCACTATCCTTTTCATCTTCTTTTGTTCGCATACTAACTAACATGTCCGTGTGGTTTTCTATGCTGCTGAAGTCGCCACAAAGTGGTGACATGAAACAATGCATTTATTACTCATCTCAGAGTTCCCTGGGCTCACAGCTGAGCACAGAACAGTCGGGTCACCCTCTTTAAAATAAAAAAGTCTGAGTTTTCAAGGATTCCTGGTGGTGACATGGGTTACACTTTGGTCTGCTAGCACAAGTTCAGTGGTTCAGACTCACCCCAAGGTAGAAAGACGGGGCCCTCTGCTCTTGTAAAGAGTTATTGTCTCAGAAACCCTTAGGGACAGTGCTACCCTATCCGATAGGGACCCTACTGGTCAGAATCTGATCAACTACAGTGGATGGTAGGTTGAGTTTCTACTTGTGGACAAGATAAGATTCCTTATCGCTTGTGTTTTATAATGCATCTCTTGCCATCTTGTCCAAGCATCCTAATTGCATGGTCCCTGAACAGAGGTCCTCTGCTTCCATGCTGTCTGCTCACACCACCAGCACCACTCCCCCTCGACCCCAGACCCTTTGTTTGCAGTCCAGGCTAAAGGTGACACCCCCTGGTACATTGTGAGTGACTGCCCCTCCCCCTGCCCCACTCTTCCCTGGGGCCTGGGGTCTTACCAATCCCCAATATGAATCATCATGGATCGGTCTGACTTGTCTCTTCTCTGGACTCTGGACTTCTTTCTCTTTGGGACAACCCCTTTCTCCTCACACACACCCCACCCCCTGCACCTGGTGCAGAGTAGCTGCTGGAACAAGTGCACCTGCTGTGAGAGGAGACCAAGCCTGAGGGGAGGCTCAGCTACAGACTGAGGTTTGAGGGAAGACACTGGACTGAGGTTTCTGAAAGTACGAAGGCTGCTGTGTGGAGGGCAGATAGGCTAGTTACTAAAATGTATGAAAATTGCCTCATTGGCTCACATTTTAAATGGTGTACAAAGAAAGGGCTTGCAGGGAAAAAATGGAAGGAACCTTTTGAAGGCCCTCTCATAAAACAAGTTAAAACCTTCCCAAAAAAACCCTCTCAAAAAAACACATCTCCCCCGCTCTCAAAAGCCCTGGTGGAGTAGTGGCTATGCGCCCTTGGGCCACTGAGGCAAGGTCAGCAGGTGAAAACCACCAATGGCTCTTCAGGAGAAAACGGGCTTTCCACTCCCATGAAGAGGGACACTCACAGGGGCAGTGCTACCCTGTCCCATAGTCTTGCTCTGTGTCAATCGACTCGCCGACAGCGAGGTTCAGTTCGCTGTGAAAGGAAGGTGGAAGCAGCTTACCCCTCCCCAGCACAGCCTTCTGTGAGGCCCCCAAAGGCTGCAGACGCAGCCTTGCTGCCAGGCAGAAAGTAAATGCTGGCAGATGCAGGCGAGGCTCAAGCCTAACACCTTGTCATTTGATCTCCCTTTTGGCCCATTTGAAATTGGTTCTAGTTTTTAATAGTTTGTGCCTTATGATTGAGGTTTTTCTCTGTTTTGTTGTGGTTGTTAGTTTTGTGTTTGTTTATTTTTTTATGTTTTTCTGTCTATAAATCCAGGATAGGTCAATCTATAGAGAAAGTAAGTGGATTAGCTGTGTCTTGGGGAAGTTAGGGAAGATGGGGAGCCAATAAGTACAAGAAAAAATGTTATACCCAGACACACATGTATATGTCCCTGGTCTACTTGAGTAACATTAATATCAACAATTCTCATGGGGCATATCAATAAACTCTGGTGCATACAATACCACGAATCATTAAAGAACAATGATGAAACTGAAGCACCTCATGACATGGGTCGATGTGGAGGACAACATGCTAAATGAAACTAGTCAAGCACAAAATGACAAGTGTTATCTGAGAACACGGTTATTTTAAAATTCCAAGATAAAAGTGCATCCCAAAAGACTTTGATGGTTACCAGGAATGGATGGGGAAAGGAAAGGAAACGACATCATTGGCTTGAGCCGCGTTCCCCAAAGTGGGCAATACCGTCCCCAGGTGGTGGTGAAAGGGGCACACTGGAACAATTCGGGGAGATTGCTTAAAAGCCGAACCCCTATTTTTTGTCTTGGATTCTGAGCTATAGTGCAAACATTTTTAATTGCCACTGGGGGTGGGGATGGACACAATTTTTCTTTTTCTGAAAAGGGAGTAGCAGGCTAAATAAATTTGGAAACCTATGAGGTAAGGAGGAGATGGGTGTTAACTTGGGTAAAGGGGAAGGCAATCTCTACTAGAGGGAGACAGGCCAACAATAAAATAAAAAATAGTGGGAGAGCTCCTCTCCCTCCCAAAAGAAAAGTGTTTGTTTTGTTTTTAACAGCAGCCAGGTGTGACCAGTAACGGTTTACCCTAAATAAGCCAATCTCTCAGTTTAACTCCAAGGCCAGGCACAAGAAACAAGGCCAACCTTGTTGCCTCCAGATCCCTTTCCTGAATCAACAGTCACGATGTGAAGCAAGAACACCTAGCAGTCCTGAAAAAAGACCTCCCATACGCACCTACGTCTTACAAGAGCGTTACAACAGGTGGGCTAGGTGGCGCTCCACGTCGTCTGCACGGCTGAGAGCGCCATGGAGGCCTCCGCTTCCACCCCACTCAACCTCAGCTGCGGCTCTAGCCACCTCGTGTACAGCGGCTCCGCGGCTGCAGCTTGACAAAATACAGGTTAAAAAGGCCCTGAAAGCTCTGTTGGCGCATGGCCAGTCCAGGAAAAATGCAAATGTCCTGCTTTTGAATGAAAATGAAAGTTTGTTTTTAATGGTGTTGTTATGGAAAATTGCGAAGAAAGAACGGAGGGTCCGATTGTCCCTGCCTCCTGCAATTCGATAAGTGAGGACAGAGATCTGTCTGTTCACCAAAGATGCGCCCAACCTGACCCCCGAGCAGACGGAGCATGTCGACCGGAGTCTTCCAAACAAACACAAGATGAAGCTGTTTCTCAGAGCATCCACCACCGCACGCTGAAAACAGAGCAGAAGCCCTACGAAGCCAAGCTCCGCCTCCTGGGCAGTTTCGACTCCTCCCTCACTGCTGCGAGATTCGGAGGCTCTTGCCCTCCCTCCTGGTGAAGCATTTCTATCTCCGGAAGAAGATGCCTGCATGTGTGAACCTCCTGGCCAAGGACTTGTCCAGAGAGATCAGTGACTGCATCGGTGGCATGATCTTGAACATCTCTAAAAGTGAATAGGCAGGATAAGCGATCAGGAGGAGAAAACAACGGGGCTAATGGCTCTGGGGGAACATGGAAGAGGATGAGGGGGGACCAGGGGAGGGGAACCAACAAATCCCAAGACAAGGGACAGGTGCTGCACGATGGATGCAGTCACTGAGGGAGGAGTCAGACAGGGCACAATTCCCACTCTGTGTCTCCAGTGGGTCAGTGAGGGGGCGTTGTGTCTCGTGGCAGGGAAAGACGAATATCCCACTAAAAGGGAGACTAGACAAGGATGCCCCTTGTCCCCCCTTCTATTGAACACCACACTGGAGGTGCTAGCTAACAACATAAGGCAAAGGAAAGACATCAGTGCTATTTGGGGAAAGAAGAGGTGAAATTACCGTTAGTCACAGATGACACGATCTTATATATGAAACCCCAAGAGCTCCACGAGGAGAGCGCTGGAAGTGGTGGAGGAATGTGGCAGAGTGGCAGGATCCAAGAGTAATGGGGCCCTTCATCTTCAAGGCCTGCTGTGGAGCATTTTCCACTCTCCCTCATCTGCTTCCCTCCTGGCATCGCCTCTATTTCTGGCCTTCCTCCCTCCCTCCCTCTGAGGAGGAGCCCGTCCGTGCTAACACTGGGCCACCCGGATAAAGAGGATCATTTCCTCTCAAGATCCCTCATCACATCTTCAAAGGCCTATTGCCAACTCAGAGGATTAGGATGGGGACAAGGCTGAAGAGGGGTGGAAGTGTTTATTATTCTACATACCATAATTGCCTAAACACTTCTTTTTTTAAAGCAAAAATCCTCCCATTTCTGAGTTAATTCCAACTCACAGCAACCCTACAGGGCAGAGTAGAACTGTCCCTGGAGTCTCCCAGGCTGTAATCTTTATAGAAGCCCACTGTCACATCTTTCCCCTGTGGAGTGACTGGTAGATTCAAACCATTGACCTTCTGCTCAGCAGCTGTGCTCTTAACTACTGTGCCATCTGGGGTCCGTATTAATTTTAGTTGGACTGTCTGAGACTGCTACTGAATCCTAACCTGAGAGCTATCATCAACATCAAAGACAAGAAAGCTCCACTGGTGAATGCTACCAAACAACTAGAGAAAAATTAATACCAACTATTCCAAACATGTTTTTATATCATGGAAAAGGGATTATTCCCACTTGATTCTGAGGCCTGTGTTACCCAGACACCAAAACTACAGTGATGCCCCTTTGAATACGAATGCAATCCGCATCGAAAGCCAAATCTTAATGGGCTCTATACCATGAGCACCCCTTCTATATAAGACAAACACTACATCGTCTTCTCAGTTGTTGCAGAAAAAAAGCATTTGACAAAATCCAACAGCCCTTCAGGATTAAAACATTGAGCAAAATAGGAATAGTAGTTCCTTCCTCTACCTGATATTCCATCTGGGCTTCCAGGGAAAACCCACAAGTAACATCATACTATCATATTATGGTGCTGGGAAAAAAATATTAAAAGTACCATGACCTACCAAAAGGACAAACAGATCTTTCCCGGAAGAAATACAGACAGAATACTCCGTAAAGGCAAGGGCAGCGAGACTTTGTCTCATACTTTGGGCATGTCAGGAGAGAGGGGCAGCGAAAAAGAGGAAGCCTTTCAACAAGACGGATTGGCACCATGGCTACCTCGATGGTTTCAAGCGTAAGAACAATTGTGATGATGGCGCAGGACCGGGCAGTGTCTTGTTCTGTTGGACACAGGCTTGCTCTGACTCGGAACTGACTCGATGGCACCCGGCAGCAGCATACTTAACGGTGAAGGCCGAGTTCACTCCGGCCAGTG